AGAGGAGGAGGAGGAGGAGGAGGAGGAGGAGGAGGAGGAGGAGGAGGCGGAGGAGGAGGAGGGGGAGGAGGAGGAGGAGGAGGAGGAGGAGGAGGAGGAGGAGGAGGAGAGGAGGAGGAGGAGGAGGAGGAGGAGGAGGAGGAGGAGGAGGAGGAGGAGGAGGAGGAGGAGGAGGAGGAGGAGGAGGAGGAGGGGAGAGAGGAGGAGGAGGAGGAGGAGGAGGGAGGAGGAGGAGGAGGATGAGGAGGAGGTTGGTGCCTTCTGAGCACTCTAAGAAGGCCCACCCGCCCCACCTTTCTCTGGGCCGCTTGCGCGCGCCGCCGAATGCGGCTTCCAGGCCGTAGCCTGGGCCTCTGGCGGACGTTCGGGACGATCCGGGCACCCCGTGAACGCCCTCGGCGAGGCGCAGCTGCTGGAATGCATCCCGAGTCAAGAGCACCTCCAGGAGCCGCCGAAAACTTAGAAAAAACTTGGAACACATCGAACAGCCGGGAAACACATAACCCCTCCCCCACAAGAGAAAGCAGAGAAAGCCTCGAACATCTAAAACAAAATCTTGGCGAAGCGCCCAACAAGGGAGAGAGGAGTGAGGGGTGCATCGACATGGGGCGGGTTCGCCATGTGGGCCCTGCCGCTGGGACATTGGATGGAGTTCCTTTCGGTCCCACGGCACGGGTGAGGGGTGTGCTGAATCGGGTGCGGGTGCGCCATGCGGACCCTGCCGCTGGGGCCTTCGGCGGAGCTCCCTATGGGGCCGCGAAGCGTGTAAGGGCTGTGCTGCATCGGGTGAGGGCGCACCATTCGGGCCCTGCCGCTGGGGCCTTCGGTGGAGCTCCCCATGTGGAAAAGGTGTGCTGAATAGGGATCGGCTACGCCATGTGGAGCCTGCCGCTGGTGCCTTCGGTGGAGCCCATCCTGGGCCGCGAAGCGTGTGAGGGGTGTGCCGAATCGGGCGCGGGTGCTCCATGCGGACCCTGCCGCTGGGGCCCTCGGTGGAGCTCCCTTTTGGTGCCGCGAGGCGTGTGAGGGGTGTGCCAAAACGGGAGCGGGCGCGGCATGCGGACCCTGCCGCTGGGGCCCTCGGTGGTGCTCCTTGTAGGGTAGCGGAACGTGTGATGGGCGTGCCAAATCAGGAGCGGGCGCGCCACCATGCGGACCCTGCCGCTGTGACCTTCGGTGGAGCTCCCTCTGGGGCCACGGAGCGTGTGAAGGGTGTGCCGAATCGAGCGCGGGCACGCCATGCGGACCCTGCCGCTGGGGCCATCGGTAGAGCTCCCTATGGGGCCACGAAGTGTGCGAGGGGTGTGCTGAATCGGGTGCGGGTACGCATGTCGGACCCTGTTTCTGGAGTCTTCGGTGGAGCTCCTTATGGGGCCACGAGACGTGTGAGAGGTGTGTGAGAGGGGTGTGATGATGATGATGATGATGATGATGATGATGATGATGATGATGATGATGATGATGATGATGATGATGATGATGATGATGATGATAATGATGAAGATGATGATGATGATGATGATGATGATGATGATGATGATGATGGTGATGGTGGTGATGATGATCAGTATGATAAATATGATGGTGGTGATGATGATGGTGGTGATGCTGATGGTGTTGATGGTGATGTTGATGATGGTGGTGACTGTGATGATGATGCTGATGATGATAGTGATGGTGATGATCATGGCAATGGTAATGGAAACGGTAAGTGCAATGGTGCTGGTCGTGGCCATGGTAATGGTAATGGGAATGGCGATGTAAATGGTAATGGTAATGGCAATGTTAATGATAACGGTCATTGCTGTGGTAGTGGTGGTGGTGATGGTGACTGTGGTGAGCATGATGGCATGATGACTATGATGATGATGATGATGAGGATACTGCTGGTGAAGATGCTGATGGTGATGGTAATGGTAATGTGAATGGTGATGTGAATGACAATGATAAAGGCAATATTAAAGGTGATGGTGATTGTGGAGCTCCCCGTGGGGCCACGCAGCGTGTGAGGGGTGTGCTGGATCGGGTGCGGTACGCAATTCGGACCCTGCCCCTGGAGCCTTCGGTGAAAATCCTTGGGGCCACAAAACGTGTGAGGTGTGTGTGTGTGAGGGGTGCGATGATGATGATGATGATGATGATGATGATGATGATGATGATGATGATGCTCAGGATGGTGATGATGATGGTGATGATGGTGATGACGCTGGTGATGCTGATGATGGTGGTGATGATGCTGGTGATGATGTTGATGGTGATTGCGATGGTGATGAGGATGATGATGGTGATGGCAATGGTAATGAGAATGGTCATCGTAAGTGTACTGCTAGGTGACTGTTCTTTTTCTAGGGGGGTAACGCATGTTACGTGGGGTGGGAAGGAAGGAGGTGACGGTAACGGCGGCCGCCGCGGCGAGTACTAGTACTAATACTAGTACCAGTACTAGCACGAGTACGGGTAGTACGAGTAATAGTAATGGTACTAGTAGTACTAGTCGCTCTTGTAGTGTTCGTGAGCCGCACTAGTAGTGTTAAAGGTGCTCGTAATCCCAGTCGTACTAGTAGCACTTAAAGAAATAGACGCTGTAACAAAACATAGTAGTAGTAGTAGTAGTAGTAGTAGTAGTAGTAGTAGTAGTAGTAGTAGTAGTAGTAGTAGTCGTAGTAATAGTCGTAGTAGTAGTAGTCGTAGTAGTAGTAGTAGTAGTAGTAGTAGTAGTAGTAGTAGTAGTAGTAATAGTAGTAGTAGTAGTAGTAGTAGTAGTAGTAGTAGTAGTAGTAGTAGTAGTAGTACTAGTAGTAGTAATAATAATAGTAGTAGTAGTCGTAGTAGTAGTAGTAGTAGTAGTAGTAGTAGTAGTAATAGTAGTAGTAGTAATAGTAATAGTAGGGTCACCCGTCGTCTATGGTCGGCCTGGTTATGGCCGGTAATTTGGTTGGGTTTCTTTACAGGTGTACGAAAACCCGATATAAACAACGCGTCCTTCACATATGACTTATGGCCGGCACGCTGTGAGGAATCCCAAGGGATTCTCGAAGAATCCCAAGGAAGTCTCCAGGAAACCTAAGGAATCCCCAAGGAATCCAAAAGAATTCTCCAGGAATCCGGAGGAATTCTTTAGGAATCCCGAGGAATCCATCAGGACACCTAAGGAACCCCTGAGTTCCCCGGAAACTTCCAGGAATCCGAAGGAATCCGAGGGAATCCAAAAGGAATCTTGAGGAAATCCGAAGGAATCCTTCGGAATCCCTGCGGAATCCCAAGGAATTCTCCAGGAAACCTATAAGGAAATTTCGAAAATCTTAAGGAAGTCTCCAGGAATCCCAAGGAATTCTTCAGGAATCTTAAGGAATGCCACAGGAATCCCAAGGAATTCAACAAGAATCCTCAGGAATCTCAGAAGAATCCGAAGGAATCTCGGAGGAATCCTAAGGAATCTCGGAAGTACCCTAAGGAATTCGCAAGGAATTCTTAGGAAGCCTCCAGGAATCTGAAGGAATCCCAGACGAATCCTAAAGAATCCTTGTGATTCCATAGGAATTCTCAAAGAATCCCAAGAAATTCGTAAGGATTCCTTAGGAATTCTGAAGAATCCGAAGGAAGTCTTCAGGAATCCTAAAGGTAGTCTTCAGGAATCTTAAGGAAGTCTTCAGGAATCCTAAGGAAGTCTCCGGCAATCCCAAGGAATTCTCGGGGAATCCGAAGGAATGCTCGAGGAATCCTAAGGAAGCCTCGGTGCATCCTAAGGTTTCCTCTGTGAACCCTAAGGACTTACCCCGAAGATTCCGAAGGAAGTCTCGAGAGGTCCTCAGGAATTCTCGAGACTGAGTATGCGCGTGGAGTTGAGGTAGCTCCGCAAGAGAGGAGATCACAGCAGCAACTGCGGTGGCCACGGCGGCCC